GCCTGGTGCCCCGCAGGCATTGCCTGCCCTCCGCCACGCAAAGCAAGGCTTGAGCTGCCCGTGCTGTCATCCTCCACTGCGGGTCAGCAGGCGGTGCACAGGGAAGGCCAAGGGCATCAGGCTTGGTGTGCCTGTGCTAGTGGCACAGGTGATGTTGCAGCCAGGATGGGGCTCTGTGTGCTCACCACCACTCAGCCGAGGGGGAGGGCTTCTGGATGAGAAATACAGGTTTGTGAGGCTGTGCCTCCTGCGTCGACGAACGTGACTGCACTGCAGATCGTCCTGACCGCCTGGTCAGTCACCACTTAGCCTTGCTGCCCTCTAGCCTCCAGGGATTTCTGTATTCACATTTAGAGGTGTTGAACGTGACATGCTTCAACCATTTCGTTAGTATTCCTGGCTGATGACAGCTTTAACCCACACACACATTCAGTAACCAGGCTAAGTGCCCCATGCACCAAGCTGACGTTTGCCCAGGGTGGAGCACCCAGCTCCACTGGGAACCACTTGGGATTGCCAAACATGATCAGGAAAGCCTGCATGACCAAGCAGGCCACTGGCTAATGCTCCACAGAGCCTGTGTCAGGGTGTGCGTCGCTCCCAAACACCTGCAACAGGAGATGCACCCAGAATCCAGAGACTGCAACTTCACTTCTAACTACAGAGGAGCCAAGCAGGATGCAGCAGCAGCTGCTGATGGCACAGTCAAGGTGCTGCCTCCTGCATGGAGGGGTCAGCCCCAGGCTGTGTTAGTGTTGGAGATCTGTGCAGCAACAGCATAACACACAAACAGGTCCGTTTGGAGCACTTGGCTCCTCTGGATCTGCCCAGGGCCTTTTGCACCTATACAATACCTTGTTGTCACCAAATCTGCCATCTCTTCTACAACAATGTTTGGCAAGGCCTGGTTTTCCTAAAGTCATGCTGACTAGTGTGGGCTGTTTTTCTAACCTTTAAGTCTTTCCTGCTGTTAATCCAAGGCTGAAGTCAGACTAGGTAACACTGTTGGCTTTTTTGTTAAGAGGGATTCCAGTCAGCTCTGTTTGGACACCTCGTGTTAGGAAAAGCTGGACCAGTGGAAATTCATCCTTCTGCATGTGATTGCTGACGGCACCCGCTCAAAACAGCCTCTTTTCACAATGACTTTTCTGTTATTTTGGACTATTCATTCTTTCAAAATGAAAACAGAAAATAAAAAGCTCTGCCTGTATTTTCACTTCTTTTAGTTTAACACTTCCTCCTCCCCCCCCCCTTTTTTTTTTCTATTGGTAGAAAAACAGAAAAGAGAGAAAATAAAAGTAAAAGGAAAGCTGAAACCACTGCAAAAAGGAAAAAATTCTAAGGAGAAAACTGTTGCCAGAAATGTGAAAAAACAGACAAAAAGTTCTTTTCTGAAATCCGTGGAATGGAAAGACATATATATTATATATATATTTAAACGATTTCCCCCTTGTTCTACAGCCACCTCTGCTTATTAACAGATGATTTTAATTTTTTTCCTCTTTAATTGAGAAGCATCAACTTGGTCACTTCACCCCCTCATTGTCCAGCATGGCTCTTTAGCTCTGCTCTGTGGCCGGAGCTGTGGATGCAGTGGTGGCCATGCCATTGGCACAGCACCAAGTCGACTCTCCTCAGATTGCTGTTGTCACCCATGGACTCTGCAACAAGGACCACGATCTGGGGAGCCCCCAAATGAAAGAGAAGCCACAGTTCTTACTTTTGGCAATCTCCGCACTCGATTAGCCCATTGGTCTCCTTGATGGCCGGCTCATACACGAAAACAGGATACTCGGTGTCACAGGGCTGCAGGATGTCATGCTTCTTGTGCTTGTGAGCTGTGATGGTAAGGAGGCAAGGTGAGAAAGGAAGGGCAGAGGGTTTGCGCTGAGATGGATGCATGTAAGACTGGTGATGTAGGTTGGAGGAGCAGCCCTGCGTTTCCCCTCCCTGACAGTGCCCAAGAGCAGGTACCTTCCAGAGAAGAAGCAGCCAGGCAGTGAGCCCTGCTCCCACTAGGTGGTGTGGGAAAACCGGTCTATGTAGGAAATGAGCCGAATATTCCCACTTACCTTCCCCAGGCAAGCCCGGACCCTGCCCTGCTGTAGCCACAGCCATGGGGCTGCAACGGCCACAGCACCCCAGCGACCCCCGTGACCAGTTAGGCAGGGGCATTTGGGCACTGGTATCCCTATGTTCAAAGGAGGGGGGGTGTGTGTGTGTCTACCAAACCAGCAGTGTCAACAGAGACCCTCCTGCCTAACCCAGCCCTGGTTCATACACTTATTTAAACATTCAGAGCTGCGACTGGGCTGGTCCTCAGTGCCTGTGCCCTTGCAGGGACCCTGCATGTCCGTGGTGGGGCTCTTCATCAACCGCTGATCCTTCCTGAGCCCTCTGACATGGCAGAAGGAAATCTGAGTGGTTGAACGTGTGTCACATTAAAAAGAAAACACTGCCAGCAAACAGATCTGGCCTGAGTCCACAGTGAAGCAGGTGATGGCTTTCAAGGACCAGCAGAGACCTAGCTAATGCACAGCGCTGGCTCCTGGAGGGAGCCATCCACTGCAGAGGCAGGGAGAATCAGTCACACACACTCTGTGGGACTCCCAAACTAATTTGGGGATGAGGGGGAGCTGAACTGCCTTACCGAGCCTCCCTCGAGAAGCAAGAGCATTCTTTCTAGGAGTTCAGCAAAGTCTGCCTTGCCTCCAGCTACTGCCTTGGGCCTTTCTGGCAATTATTTTCTGCAGTTTGAGGTGGCAAAGCCAGCTCCTGCCTCTGTAACACACAGGGGGATGCCGCTGATGGAAATGCGAGGCTTTGTTGCTGGAGCAGAGGTGGTTGCGGCTCAGTCAACGACAAGTATGAGAAATGGTTTCTACATCAGCTTTGGGTCTGAACACAGAAGACTTGCCCCACAGAGTTGCTGCAGGCAGCCCTGCCAGGGGACAGGCAGGAAATAGAGTCCTTCTGAAGTGGAGGATGACCAGCTTTTGCCTTGCAGGAGCAGTGCTGAAGATTTATGGAAAAATGCAGCAGCATGGGTTTTAATCAGTGAGTGTAAGGTAAGAAGGCAGCAAGAGGGGATCTGTGATTCTGATCGGTAATTTGCATCACTGTAGAAGCCTTAGAGAGCTATGGTCTCCTCTGCCCCAGTGCTGCCAGAGCACACAGAAAGTGGCAGGCACCCCCCACAGAGTTTGCCATCTAAACAATGGGATTACATGAGACAGAGAAAAGCTGGGTGATTTTCTCTGATTTTTCCTCCCCACCACGGCGATTCAGCGACACAAGACATTCATTAAGAGTCAGGAGCTGCAGCCCAATCTCCCCTCTAATGCCTTCCCCAGGTGAATATCATGGAGACTGAAACACCTCCCTGCAGTACAGAGTCTCCAGTAGTTGTGCCTTGTGCTTTTCTTCTGAGCTCTCAGAACATGCCACCTTCAGGGCAGCCTCCTGCTTAAATCCTCACAGACTGCAGGACCCACCTTTTGGTATCATGGTTAGGTTCATTTTGCACAGATCCAAAAGCACACGGGGCTTGATTTCAGCATGATGCCTTGCTCTGCATTCACCCTGGATTCACACTAAATTAATCAGCTGAACTCGTTGTTTCAGGGTCTGGCAGCCAGGAGCTGCCTGGCTGTGCTCTGCCACCACTTGCCATCCCCACACTGCAGAAGCATGGAAAAGCCTCTCGATTTTTGCTAACGGAGAACGCCTCTGACTAGTAACTGTCATAGGGATGAACATTCCTGACGATATTCGGGATGAGCAGTAGAAGGCCTGTTACTGAGGTGAATTTCAAATGCTTAGACATTTCTGATGAAACATACAGAATATCCCTGTTTAGGCTTTAAGGAGAGAAGCCGCAAATGCTTTCCATCTCAGACCAATTCCAGGGCTGGTCCATGATGGACTAAAGGAGTGTGAGGAACTGAGTGGAAGCCCTTTCCTTCAGCCTTAATTCTCTGTACTAGCGTCAGGGAAAACAGCTCCAAACTCTGAAACGGGCAACCAGACTACTGTAGTCTGGGCCAGGGACACATCTTCTTAGGGACATGCTTGTGGCAAGACCACACACTGGTTCCCCCAGTCACAAACCATCAAAGCCCCATTACGTTACCCCTGGATTTGCAGCACTGCTTGCTGGCCTGACCTGCACACATGGCCAAGAGCTGTGCCTCAGCTCTGGACACAACTCTAGAGAGGCAACACCTGAGCAGTAATCCTGGATTGAACTGTGCCATGGTGGCTCTCACAGGAGCAGCCTGTGTGTCTAGACTTAAACAGTGGGGAGTGCACCTGGGTTAGTCCCTTCAGGAGCACTTTTGCCACTAGCATTATGGGCTAAGTCATGCACAGAAGTTGCATTTCTGTTTGAGTCTTTCATGACCATCTGCAATTTGTCGTGCTCTGGATTAACTCCATCATGTGCACCAAGTTATATTTTTAAACTCTGTTAAATTGGCACAAGTCCCCTACATAGACCATCTTAAATCAGTTTCTTGGCACAGGCTAAATGAAAAGAAGCCCCTTTAAAATCTCCTAACTCCTGCGCAGAGACAAGACCTATGACTGAGATTATGCTTAAGCCTCCTGCCACTTAATTTGCTTGGAAGCAATGCAGCTGCAGCAGTATTGAGAAGTTCAGCAAAGCCCAGTAGCACGTACATCATCAGTGAAATGCTTGGGCTGAGCCTCTGCATGCACATGCTGGACATCAAAACGTTATCAGTGTTCCAAGAGCCTGGTGGTCAGGGATTAGTAAACAGCCAGAGGAGCTGATAACAAATTGCAAACTTTATAGCAAAGAGTGAGTTAATTCCAGGCTGTCGTTGCTACCATCTGCACTGCCAGAAAGACTTTGTCAGACGTTTGGCAACCAATCCTTCTGAGCAGCAAAGGCAGCTGCCACACTGTGTTATGAACTATACAGCCGAGATCGTGAACTCTTTACCACCAGCATAAATCACAAACCCAAGCCAGTGGATTTACTCTGGGACAGAAGGCAAAGTCTGCTACTTAGTTACAAATACAAAACAGAGAATTTAATTGATTACCTTGTAAAATACCCTCTGTGTACATTACCATGCAGTCAAAAAGAAACTTTTGTGAGCTACATAATTCTAGAAATAGTCTTTTCTAGGCTGTATTCCTTGGCTGCATGTGGTTTTAAAAGCTTTCAAACCTGTGCTGATGTCCATAAAAGCAGAAGCCCTTACAGACACAGAGAGGAATGAGATGCTGAGATCAGTGAAAAATCCATGGCAGCAAACATGTCTTCTCACCACCTCTGAAAAGCCTATTTGCATGATGAGTGCAGTCTGTATACATCATGCCTGTATTCCAACAACAAGTCTTGCCTTCCCAGAAAGCAAGGGAACTTGGGAAGCAGGAACAGGCTCAGTGCTGCAGAGCTAGAGGTGCACAGTCAGGCAAGGGTGAGCATTAGGTCCCCAGCCATTAATTCCTCTGCCTATATCCCTGAGTAAAAGTGTGCTCAATTTCTCTCTCACAAAATGTCTCCTTCTCTTCATATTTTTTGCATACACCAGCCTTGGCATGCAGTCAAGAAAACGTTAACATCTCTGGCAAAAATCTACAGCCCCTTCTTAACAACATGTGCAATCCATTTCTTCCAGCCCCAATAGTATTCTTCCACCCTGCTATTCCCTCCCCCACCAGACTCTTTCTTTTTCTCTTCTTACAGTGAGACACATTCCAACTGTCTCTATTTCTCTATCTCTGTCTCACACTTACGTCTTGCTGGGCAGGGAGCAAATCAGCGAATACAAGCTAGATATGGAAGCAGGAAGATACAAACACAGCCACAGTCTGGACTGTGTCTTTGAGGGATTTCTAACTTGCCTGTAGGAGTGGATTTATGAGCTAGAGCATATACTTATCAAGCTGAACTGCTTGAAAGTAGTTGTGCATTATCCTGGAGCTGGGCTGGGATTCATCAGAAGGAGCTAAGCCATGGGGTGTGGAAAAGAAGACTTAAGTTGCCTCTTAATAACTGAAGTCTATGAGAGCCATATAGTCTTTCCTGCAAGAGGGCATGGGTTGGTCTTTGGTTTGGCATAAGAACTGAAAAGAATGGGGCAGCTGGAAACTAAAGCGAAGGACATGCCACTGTATCTAAGCCATAGTGATGGTGTTGTCTGTGTCTGCAGTCCCTAAGGAGGCTGGTGTCTCCCTTCTTTTATTGACTTTACAGTGACAGACCTTCAATTGCCAGCTGAACAGGGAACAGCATCACTTGCTTCTTTGCAGTGCAGGGAAATAGAGCCAGGCACTGCCTTGTCCCTGTCACACCTTTCTGCAAGTTCCCCATCGTCCAAAAGAAGTCTTTCCTAGCTGGGATTTCTAGCTAAGTCCTCCTCTTTTTGCTGTTAAGTGGTCTTACTTACAGTGATGGAAGACAGCCTTGGCTGGAAAAGTCGCACAACAGGCAAACACACAATGACGATGGAGCCACATGACAGTTTCACATGATGGTAGCACAGTGAAGAGATGAATCAGCACATAGCAGACATGGAGGTGATGCAGGAAAGAGATGAAGAAAGCACAAAAGGAACTGGTGATGAGCAGGGCAGGAGTGAGAACCCCCTCCTTTTTTCCCCCCATCTCCTCAAGCAAAGACTAAACCAAACTGCAGCTACAGCAGCTCTCTGCAGGAACACCAGGCTGGTCTGTCCTCCAGAAAGAGCAGTCCCACCTGCACTGCCACAAGGACTGCACTTGCATCTGACTCTTCCTCACCAGCTTCTGCATGAGGCCACTTCCGTTATCCTGATGCATGTTAAGCAGCAGCCAGGGCTATATAGATGATTGCTGCCACTTCTATCATCATCTCTGGTGATCCTTTCTGGAGGAGGCGAATGGCACAGTACCCAGACATTGGGCTGGTTATCTGACTGGAAGGAAATTCTGCTCTCTAAAAGCTACTGTTTCCTCATTATGCCAGGAAAGTTCAGTGCAGAAGACAGGCCCACTGTTAGCAGGGAAGTTACCACTGTCTCCACTTAAAAGCACCATTAGTGCTGAATGGTTAGTGAGGGTGTAATAATGGTACCGACATGGCATGCAGAACACTCCTTACCTTTCCCTTTGGGTCACCTCAGGGTCAGAAGCATCTCTCCTGCCTGCAGAGGCAGGGATGGGACCACACAGACTCCCAGCATGTTTTTAGCAGGCAGCACTGCAGTTTCAGGGCAGATCACTGTATTTCAACCCTCTCTCCTGCTCTCAGTTGCTGTGTAATACCATGTGCTATCAACTCTCTTCCAGAGAGGGTCCAGTGGGGCAAGAGAAGCCCTTCAATGTGTTATTGAAGCTTACAGGTTTCTGGCTATCTTCTGGTACCCCAGCTAGGCTCTGGAGAGCCTGCTGCTCTAGCTGTGCTCTGCTTTGTCCTGAGACCCTCAGGAAACACTGGAAGGGAGTCTTTTCAACCGGAAGGCTTTGTAGCTGATGGTGTCTCTCATCCTATGCAAGTAGGATGGGGGTCCTCAGAAAGAAGAGCCTCCCTCTGCCCCAGTTACCCTGAGGAAAACCACACACACCTCACCCTGACTGCTCTGGTGCTGTGGCAGCCTGAGATGGGGGTGGAAATGGGGGGAAACAGGGTGATGTTGGGACCTGAAGGCTGGATTCCAGTGCCCGTGGAGGGAGAAGTGTCAGGGCAGGAGGTGGGCTCCTCACATGAGGCCAGACTTCCCCATACAGCTTCTTCTGCCACCAGTGGCTGTAACACTCATGTGCTATGGGGCTGCTGGACTCTTGTGTACTCACCATCTGCCAAGTTGTCTGAGTGCCAGAAGCTACTCATATTAAACTCCAAAAGGAAGCTGTCAAAAGAGCAAAAACAGAGGATGCTTTTTCAGCAGCCTGGAAGGATGCAGGTATCAGGGAGATGGCCCCATTGCCCGATGAGTATCAGTTCTAAAATGTTTACTACAAATCCGCTGGCAGTGAAGTCTGAATTTGGTTTGTTTATTTTTTTTTTATGTATTTTTCCCCCCTCTCCACATGATACTGTGTAGCTCTTTATCATGGGATCTGTACTGTGGAATATCTAAGTGGGCTTTTTGCTTTAGTACATGCTGTGCAGGGCTAGTGAAGGAAGGAATGAGTACAACAGCCCCTAAGGCTGGGAGGGGATTCTGTCACAGTGAGATCCACCTGAGCAACAGGCATGGGTGGCCATCGGGGAGCCCGTACTCTGGCTACTCAGAGGTAGCTACAGATCACATTAAATTATTCTGTACCAATATGCCCAAGCCCTTGGAGCTGGATCTTTTCCATGCTTTTCCTTTTGTGCACCCAGTGAGCTGAGAAGCGGTATTTTCATCCTAAATTGAGCTTGAACTCCAATTCCCCCCAGCAGTTTGAGGTAAGCCCAAATCCAGAGCTTGATTCAAGGCCTCCCGCCTCTTCTGCCTTGCCTGTCACTCAGACCTGAGCTCCCTGGCTTTCTTCCTTCAGCCTTCACCCCCTGTGAAATGAAGGTGTGCATTCACTCATCACAGGCAAAGGAGACAGGCAAGAGGACTCAGCATCAAGGATCCGCGTGGGGTCCCAGGAGACCTGAGTCCTATTTATGACTCTTCCACTCTGTACTGAGTGACTTCAGGTAAATCCCAGACTCACTACGGGCCTCTGCCTCTCAAAATGGGAATAGTAATAGCTTTCTGTCTCCCAGGAGCAAGGCGCTGAGCTGAATGTCAGGAGAAGGCTGAGAGCAATGCCCTCTGCTTGCAGCTTTCTCAGCTGTTGCCCCCATTGGTCTGAGCCTCCCAAACACCCCCATCTTCTGGTACTCACATGAGGAAATCACTTATCAGCCATTTCACTGCAGCTAGAAAGGCATAAATTGGCTGGAGAACAAAAGAAGAAATGAGAAATACCGTAAGGACCTGGTCAGAGAGTTTATAGTTGTTATGCAGGACCCCACGTTTCAGACCAATTCCCTCTACTGATCAGAGCTCTTGAAGACAGGCTGGAAATTCAAGGTCTGGGCATCACTGGAAAATGTTCAAAATACTTCAAAAGCCAGCAGAGCTGCCTTGCTACTAATAATATCTGCTCACCCCCTCCCTGTCAGGGTCAGGGAGTTTATCACAAATATATGAAGGACTTTGAAGATGTAATTGCTTGATGATTTCTCTCCAGTATGGATGACCTTGAAAGCTCTGAGCAGGAGAGAAACACAGCTAAATGGGACACCACCAGTTTAGGATGCTTTTATATTCTGACGGCAAGTAGTGTTTCTGGGACAAGCGACAGCGTTGCCCAGGATTTAGTATTATCTGCTACTGATTGATTATGCTTAACTGTGCTTTCATCCAGCTTTTCCTCAAGATGGCATGACTTCTATCATCTTCTTGCTTTTCAGCTACAAATTGGAAAACCAGCATTGTCCCAGGGACAATTCATCTGCAGAGGATCCTGCTGCTTCTTTTCTTCATGGTAACCATGTCTAATTTTCGTCTCTCCCTCTCATAATCACACCCTTATCCTCAAATCCAAAACAGATGCAGCAGTCATAGGACATAAGATAATGTTCCATTACTGCTAACTGACTTATCTTCAGCCAGGGAAAGTCAGCAAAGAGTAAAATGTATAGATGGTTGGGAATTTGTGATTTTTTTTATGAATGTACACGAAAAATGGGCTTTTCTCAATTTCTTCCTTTTCAAGGGATTTCCTAAGAAGGGAAAAGGAGAGGTAGAGGCGGAATGCTCACCTTTTTATTCTCTTCTCAGTTCACGTCATTTTTGGCAGCTCGTATTTTGTGACATTCCTTTCAGTAATCAGAATTGGAGGATAATAGCAATGACCAAAAAATATTTTCACAACCCTCACAGTATTTTTATCTATCCAGCTGAAGTACAGCCATTGCAAACCAGACATATTGTTAAAATGTAACATATTGTTAAAAAGTAATATTTAGCTGAAAATTCTTTTACTGGAAATAAATTACAATGTCATGCTGTAAGAAATACTTCCAGCACACCACATTTTAAAGTATCAAACCCCCAATCATAATGGTAATAAACACATCCTTCTTTAGGATTGCTTCAACTAGTCTGAAGTAGCCTGAGTGTTAATTACTTAGTTCTGCCTGTTTGAGGACAGGTTAGCAAGGCAGAGTGGGATTAGATTATTATCTTGTATCGGATGAAAAAGAGGTTGCATTTGGGTACTGGCAAAACTATTCACTCTGATAGTTTGTTCCCTGGACTATCAGCATTTCTCAGCTGCTTTAACCTGTCTCTGTTGCTCTAAGCCCACTCATGCTTCCCTGAAAGGCTGACAGCTTTCTCCCAGATGCTCAGAGTACAACTCGTCTTTCTGAGCTGCTGACCAAAACCATGTCCTGCAAAAGCATTTCTATTCATTTCAGCTGCAAGCTGGTTCCTTGGCTTTTAGGAGATGCCTGGCATAGTGTAGTTCCTGTCCTCTCCCTGGTCCTTCTGATCTTCAGTGAGATCTACGCCAATAGAGAGCCAAATTGGAAACCACTGTAAGTGGCTGTCACTGCCTCAGAAATCTGCCTTACAATGAGTTTGGACATTCCCATCACTTGAAAGCAAAAATCTGCTAAACTCTTTCGGGGAACATGCTACATGAAGGTGTGGGAGATGTCCTAGGAGAAAGCCTCCGCAGCCAAGCCCAGAGAGGGCTGCATGCTGACAGATACATACGCTGAGCAGAGGCTGGGCACCGCTGTGGTGGTGGTACGGTACTTTGCACATTGCTTGATAATCATACATGGTCACCCTGCAATCAAAACAAAACAAGCAAGCAGTCAAAAGTAAGCAATGCAACTGCCTACAGGACACACACATCAGCTTTTTCTAAGACCTTGTATGGAAGAACTAAATCAGCGACCTGCTTACACATACATGTCTTTGCTGTTTGGTCAGTGCTGGATCTTGCAAAGCAAGAAATACAGGCTCTGGATTAATGTAACTGGGTCAGTACAGGAAGAAATATGTCCCTAATTTCAGATGGTGAGTAAAGCAGGCAGTGAAGCAGGAAAATTATAATTGCAACTACCTCAGGCCCCCTAGTTCCTGTTTTCAAGCCACTGAAACTCAGAACTCTCTTTTGACATGGGCTGGGGGAGTGGAGTGAGAGAAACAGAGGTATTTTTAGGAGAGAGACAAATGTGCTCAGCCAGCTGCAATGCTACATCTGGGAGGCTCTCAAGGCAACTGCTCATAGGCTTTCCAAGTGGCAGGAGGAACTGAAGCTCTTTATACCCAAAATGCCAAGAAGTGTTTCCCATAGCATCTTGCCCTGGAAAACACAGAAGAGCAGCTGCTTTCTGGCCACATGCAGATCAGGAGTTACTGTCTCTCTCGGTGCTTTGCAGAAGGCAGAAGAGCAGATGAGGAAGAACAGGGTGTGTGGTAATGATGGCTGAGCAAGCTAGGGGAGGAGGCAGGTAGCTAAAGAAGCTCTTCTATCAAAACAAGAGAGTCACATGCATCAGCATGTGCATTTTTCCCCTGCTGCTTATGGGACCAGTCTGCTCTGACCCACACACCAGCTAAAGAAAGAGAAGTACAGCATTGGAGATCCCCCGCTTACCGCCTGAACATGCCCATGTTTAGCAGCTGGGTCATTACTGAGCCATCCACTGCACCCAAGAATTTTCCAGTCTGCAAGCACAGGAAAGGAAAAAAACAGAATAAACTGACAACAGTGAAATTTCCAAATGCTCGATGGGACCAGCTTGATCCAGTTTGTCTAGAGACCTACTACACATAACGGGTGTTTTATAAGGAGGTAATGCCAAGCTTTGTCCTTTGGCTGGCTGGAAAGCTTGAGGGAGGACTTCCCCCATCACCAGCTGGGCACTCTGCACCATTCCTACCACACTTGGAAATGATTTAGCCCACATAAGTCATGCAGCTTGTGATAGAAAAAGGAGGATTCTCAAGCTGTGGATACCTAGGTACACTGATTCAATGGAAGCCTGGGCTCTCCTGTGGGTTTTTGTGAATCCACATCCTCCAGGTCTGAATGCCTGAGTCTCTTCTGCTTGAGCCTGCTAGCTAATGGCTGCAGCGGCTTTGGAAACCCCTGCTCTCCTGCTGCACTGACAGTTCACTGTGGGTGAACTGACCCACCACATGGGAGTGTGCTGGACAGATTTATTTAGGTAGCAAATGCAAGTTTACAGCTTGCTGCTGTGAGAGTTCCGAGCAGGCAGTAACCCAACCAACACAACACAAACAATGCATTTCTTTAGCTTACTATGCACTGGCAGAGTCAGAGCTATTGCACAGGCTCCACCCTAACAAAAGCTCCATGTGAGGGGCAACAACCCCCAAATCCCACTTGGATGCCTGGACTAAAAGCAGAGCTTGTGGCTCTCTGGTACCATTTATGCTTTGGAGTTAATATAATACCTCAAATACAGTCTTAATCCCAAATCCTGGAACTGCTGCTTTAAAGACTTCTTCAAACAAACAACAGATCTGGCTTTCCTGATTACCAAACCATGACAAATCTATTGCAAAAATGCTTCAAATCTGCCAAGTTCATGGCTTTGTTTGCAAGCATAAAATACTCATAAATAATAAAAGTGCAGATATGAGCTATCCTCCATCTATTTTCCTAGCTCATGGGTCTTGACACAGTAAACACCTCCCATCTGTTATGAAAGTGTTCACACAGTTTGGGGGTACATTTTACTTTTCCACTGATGGGCTAGCAGTCCTTTAGCATGTATTTAGCAGATGACAGATGATTTCATTTATTTGAGTGGGGCACCTCCACTATAAAAAACAAACCCTTAGGCAGATTTACCTAAGATCATATGGTAATCATCTAACAGTAGCGTTACATGATTATGAGCTTCTTCCCAACAGGCTTTAGAATGCATTTCACTGTATATATTGATACATAACATCAACTCCTCTTTGAGCACTTAGGCTGTAACCATCTCAGACATAGTCAAATGTGTCTGAGCAAGCGCTAACTTTTTTCACCTCCCTCGCTCTTTCAATCTGATTAGGGTGGTAAGGAAGCCAGCTGCTTCCATTTAATACCAGTCCGTAGACGCAAGCAGGAGCCAGAGCAGTGGGATTTAACACAGTGCAAGCTGCAGCTGGTGTGGCAAGGGGAAGAGTCTCACCCTGTCCAGAGATGCTGATGTCTGAATTTCTCCAGGTACAAATATGGGGAGCTTTCAGTATAATTGAGAGAAAGGCTTAGGGAATGTGTTCAGAAAGGCATCAGCAAACTGGCCTTTAAGAACAAACCAGACATACAAAGCTTGGTGCTGGTTTAGATACCCTGTGCAGGTAACCACAGGAAAGCATCACTTGACAGAAACCCAGTGGTCCTGTACTGAACAGCATTTTGCAAGGCAGCTCTCATTGCAGCCTGCTTCCTCAGTGACTGGCGGCTGCTCTCCCTGACATTTCCCTGATGTGTTTCTCCTAATTCCCAGGCTGAAAATTAGGCTGGAAGCTGGCAATTAGGCTGGAAGCTGGAACTGCACAGGCCCTTGCAATTTCAAAGATTCACAGCATAAAGTGTTGCCTCTGATGTCCTGTGTGACACATGCTTTATCACATCTTGTATGCTGAGAGCATACAAGTGCATATGCAGGGTATGCACAGGAGAGAGATGCATCCTGGAGCACACTTACAGCTTGAAAGGTACATCACTGCTCACACACATACATGCGCCCATGCTTTGCTGGCTCATTGAGCAATCTGCACTTTTGGTACACACAAAAGCTGTAAACAGGATCTGCCAAATGGGCCAGGCTTTGGGTGAGCAGAGCGGGCAGCCTCCTTGCACGGCTCAAACAAAGCCAGCCCTTTCTTCTCCACAAGCTCTGCCCACCCCTGGTGGGATCTTGGCCTTTTAGCTACCACCCTGTCCCTGAATCCCACCTGGGCAAAGCTTGCATATGCCTCAGGGAGAAGGGAGCAGTCCTAGAAAAAAGAGGTTTAGTGTGTGAGGGGACATCTAGATGCAGCAGGTGGAGGGAGCTCAGGACCTGTGATCCACAGATGTGCCTCTGGCTGGCAGAAAAAGGTGGCTAAAAATTCAGGGGCAGTCATGTGGCCAGGGCTGAAAACACTGGCAGAGGAGCAGCCCTCACTGCCGCACAGCCTGAGCATGCCACTGACCTTACCTTCCTCCCCTGCCCTAGATCACCTGGTCCTCTCCCTCTCTCACTTCCTTTTCCTGGCTCTGGCTATTAACTTTTTGTTCCCTCCGCAATAAATCTGGATGGGGACATTAGCCTGAATTAAGAGATTACTCATTCTCCCCAAGTAATCCTGCAGGGAGTTTCCAATGCATCACTCATTAAAATCCTGAGTCCCTCTTTATTCTGTGGCGACTTCTGGCTGCTGGTTAGCTTCCTGCTGCCTTTAGGCAGAGGTTATTAGAGCTGATCCCCCATCCTGATCACCCATCCCAAGGACAGAGGGAAGCAGAGCCCAAGCCAGGCTGTCCTCACCCCATTCCTTCATGAAGTTGCTCTGATTTCCAGTGTGGCCACCCAAAAAAGAGGTGCATGCAGCAGGTTGAGAACACCATAAAGCACCACAGGGAATGAGAGAGATGGAACAAAACATCTCAGAGCCCCCAGACTGGGTCGCTGGCACTGGCAGCTTGCTGAGGGGCTGTAAGGACACAGGCACGGTTATTCTTAGCTTGCACTTTGCCCCAGGAAGCAAGTATTTTGGACATGAAAGCTCCTTGGCTGCCTTCCTCGGGGAAGTGGGGATGTGTGTGGAGCTCTGTGCTGGAGCTGCCACAGCCTGTGCGGCTCAGTAGGGTAGATACTTGCCCGTGCACCCGCACTCCTTTGGCTCCAATAAGCTCATCCCGATCCCGACTGGGAGCGGAACAGGCAGCATGCCTGCATGCTGCCGTTCTCCCTGCTGCTGGACTGAAATGCTGAGCCACTCTCGCTGGTGTAAGGCAGGGAGGGAGGAGAGTGAACTAGCTGACCTCTCTAGAAAGGCAAAATACCCACAAAATCCAGGTATGGGATTTTTGGGGGCATTATGTTAAAGGATGCACTGAGGGAAGAGTGTGGGATGGGGCAAAGAAGGCCACATAGCAGCAAGTGATCCCATGCAGCAATATCCAAGTGGCAAGGCTGTGAAATCCAGGGTATTGTTTTAATGCTGTTGCTTGAATTCCCTGTAGGGTTTAACAGTGTGGACACTCATGGCGCCTCCAGGAAATAAAAGCAGTAACTGGAACAAGATAAAGAAATTGGAAGAAAAGTAGTGGTGAACTCCCTGAGGTCAGGGGAGGTAACAGCTAGAAGGAGATAACAGCTCTGGTGCCTGCCAAAATGCCTCATCTTGGAGGCATGTGGATAATGTTTATAATTTCACTATATTATAATTTCACAAAATCACTATAATGCCATGTTTCTACTAGTCACATCTTTCAGAGATGAGCTTTTGGAAAACAATATTTTCCATAAAATGCAGCAAAAATACAGAGACAGAAGCCAGGAAGGCAGTGCTAAGAACAGCAGATGTGGTAGCTAAAGGGTGTAGTTGCCTTTATCTATGGACACATGCCACAGGACTCAGCAAAGCACCTTTGAAAATGCTATAGGGGGCAGAGGAGGAAACTGCAAATCCCAAGATTACCAGCCCATCCTGGCCATGCAGTGGGACCTGGCCTCCCAGAGTAGGGAGCCAATAAAACTTTACAGCAATTTCTTTCCTTATTTTTCAAGTTTTCTTTGCCTTTTTTTTTGGCACACCATGTTATC